CAACTTCATGAATTCACGATTTCAGCTTCATACATTCACGATTTAAACCTTACTTTTTCAATTTCGCGAATTCATGATTTTGAACTTCACGATTTCAGTTCCGTGAATTCATAATTTCAACTACGCAAATTATCGATTTCAATTTCTTTGATTCATCATCATGAATTCATGTTATAAACTTTACGATCTCAATTTCACGAATTCAAGGTTTCATCTTTTCAAAGTTGAAATCATAGATTCACGAAGTTGAAATCGTGAATTAATGAAATTGAAATCGTGAAGTTCAAAACATGAATCCTGCAGTTTAATTTCTGAAATTAAAATCGTGAAGTTGAAATCGTGTATTAGTGAAGATTAAATCGTGAATCGTATAGTTGAAATCGTGTATTCATAAAGTTGAAATTTTGAATTCGTGAATTCGGAAGTTGAAATTATTTTTTAATTCAGGAATATAAACCCCGATAATTCAAGAAGTTGAAATATCGCCCCCGGTCTTTCCTACGAAAGTCACAAATTAAACGTGCATCAATTCATTGTGCATCGTTATTTTGCTTTATTGTCTCTCCTTTATGAAAACATTCCGAAAACTGGTTTGATTTGCTATTACTATGTACCGTAGCATGTTCTTTGAGTCATATATATCTATTAATCGTTTGTTTTTGTTTTTTCCTACCAAATAATTTTGTTCGCACTATGAAATTTAACACTCTCAAAATACAATACATGGAACATCGTCGACGTTTCCAATTTCTATAGAAAAATAAGGATGAACACTATTCTTAGTAGTTATATTGACATCTTCTGTGTTGGAAGTATGCCACAAGGGACGCACGTTATCTGACAAGATATACGTTGTGTAAGATAAAAATCTAGAAACAAAGTGATCCCTCGGAAGCATAAATCACAACAAAATAACAAGAGAATTGCAGACTCAGTTTGATTGAGTCTGTACATGAGGTATAATGAATTCGTGCAACATCCCTCACGCCCCCTAGCACCGGCTTAAATCAATTTTATCTGCTATGTTTATATTTCAATAACAAACGGAAGAAAAAAAATGTTCATAAGTAAGTCATCGCATTATGCTTCACATAATTAATTCTGCATGTTTAAAAGTTTGTTGCTCTTGATGTTTTTTTTATCAAAATCTAAAGCGACTTGTAATAGAATTTGTAACGACTTTGTTTCCAGATTTTTGTAATAGTGTCATTTATAAAAAAAAACAATTAAATAACTTCATGTATTAGTTAAAACTATATTTATTCGATTAATGGAACATATACAGCATTTAGATCTACATGTATCAGTGATTGAAAAAGTAGTAAAATACTTATTCCACTCCATGGTATTAACTATATAACTACTAAAAAATCTTAAAATGTACATCATGCTTCAATTCCTTTTTAATATTTGTTAACAACAAACATACAATAAAAACATTTTTATTTACCAGGTGATGTGAACTTCAATGATACGGTATTGTCCACCAAATTGTACAAAACATTAGTTACCAAGAATAATTTAAAGAGTTCACATATAAACTATTCATAACCCTCTCCACCATGACGTCATCATGTCATGACGTCACGAATGTTATTTTGAAAAAATAATTTTAACTTAATTTGTGTTATTTATAAGGTACTGTTTGCTTATTAATATATATTTGTCCATTTTTTGTTTGTTTTTTTATTCTGTATAAATAAAAGATACATTATATTTTACTCTTAAGAGAAAAATATCACACTTACGAACGGGATACACCTATCGTAAAGTTACGGTAGATTTTGCACTTTTAAAAGTTTTGCTTAAGATTTTTTTTTTGAAAAGGAGATTTATCATAAGATTTCATTTACGATAAAAAATTGTTGTAAGTTTTTTTTTGTGAAAATGTCTGCTGTTATTTGCAGTTAAGCAGGTAGACCTGAAATAGCGTTTCAAAATAAACTATCGTTTTGTAATGAAACCTCAAAGAGACATCGCGCAGTCTTTAAATGTTCATATTTTAATTTATTTATAACATTCATACTGTACACATCATATCCAGGGGCGTACCTCGGCTTATTATGCCGGTTTTTGGCCAAAGGATCGCCAGAGACTTATATATCAAATATAGCTACATGTATGTGCTATAACTAATGATTTAGGGGATATTAAAGCTAATTGTACTACTATTGTCTTTATCTATAGTTATGAAAATAACATCAAGTTCATATATTGAATGTAAAAGAAATAGCACGAAGTCTAACGTGTACACTGTTTTAAACAGTTCAAAAGTTATTTGCTTTTAGAAAAACAAAACATAGCCAGGTGTCTCTCTTGTAAACAAGATGGATTTTATCTCTTTTGTAACAAGTTTAGTTTCTTCTTTGTTATTTTTCTTTTGTTTCACCATAACTTAACGTGAGATATTATCAATGACAATATGCTTTAAAATGATCTGTATTACTTTAATACAAACACAACAGCTTAACGAAAGGTTATCGTATTCACAGCTAAAATGTAGTATCGCACGATCATTTAGCTTCCCTAAAATATTTTAATGCGTATTATGTCAATGGTGTAGACAATAAGTATTGTCTTTAATATTTTTGTTCTCAACTCCAGTCTTTCAATTTCCATTCGAAATATTTAAGTTATTTCATTACGAAGTTAAATGCCTCACGCACACAAAGCATGTTGGTATAAACAGACTCGCCAATTTGTTATCTAAAGTCGGCGAAAATAAAATAATTTAGACATGATGTGTCTTATATGGTTATACATCGTTCTCGTTATATATTTGTCTATGTTTTAAATATGTATAGACGAGACTACGTATAATAAAGAATATATATCATTGTTTTCAGAAGTGTGCATTTTTTTACTCAATAAAATAATACAGTAGAAACAATTTTTAAGTGATATATTTTGTAAATAATGGTATTTTTTACGGTCAAATAAACAAAAGTTGAATTTGGTTTGAGACGATGGATGATGGCAATAGTTCACTGCAAAGATCTGATTCACAGTGTCAAAACTATTCTACATAATTTGAAATGAATATAAGTTGAATGAATATTACCAACTTAAAAATAACATACTGATTTACAGTTACAAGGTAAAATATAAAAAGGCATTCCATACAGCTAACTCACCCTCTTAAATTGTGCTGCAAACGCCAAGTTGCAAACAAGATCTTTATTTTGCATATAGATCTAAATGTAAAAAATGAAATAAATTTTTACTTTTCACTGATTTGATTCTTCTGAAAAAAAATGATTGTAATATTTTGGTCAATTTTATACCCTTATTTGAATTTTGACGAGGATTATTAGCATTATAACGCTTAACTCAAGCTGAAAAAAAAGAGAAAATTCCAAAGAAATTGTTTATATCATATTTTTACTCCCTTTCTTCATAATTAAAGTTTCGATTGTGCATAAAAAGGTAACGCATATTCGAATAAGGTAACATCCTAAGCATACCGGTAAAATCAATTAGCAGCTAGAATATGTTGATAGATCTATGAAAATGATTTCATTTTTGATTTTTTTTGTTTTTCGAAACTTTTTCTTTTTATACGCCCGTGCGTATTGGCGTATCGGTAGGTACGCCACTGATTTATCGTAACATGTGTGCGCTATCAGTAAAGTTCGTTATATATGTATAGGATAGATCATGAGTACCAGTTGGATGTGAGATTTATCAACGAGCGAAGCGAGTTGATAAATCTCACATCCAACTGGTACGAGCGATCTATCTGACTTAGACCACAGGTAGTTTTCTCTGTTTAAGGTGCAGATTAAACACGCGTAAACGTTTTTTTTCTCCGACAGTTACATAGGGATATCCAAATATTTCTTATTAAATCTATCTGGCCTTATTGTATGCCACAATTGCACGAGAAAATGGCATAATTCATGTTCTTTCATAAGTTTCTGAATACACAATCTATTGAATGATAGATAGATTTCACATTCTATCGCAAAGGTGCAGTCAGAAGAAAATTGGGAAGAATTTAACATTTTTGAATGTGATAACATTATAATTTCGAAACTTGGGATATTTTTTTGTTATTCCTGTTGGTTCCTCATTTGAATGATTTAATGACATAACACCGTACACAGCGCTTGAATATGAAGTCAAGAAGCAAAACTGCTTACCGAAAAATACTCTTAGACAGAAATTATGGTTGATGGCTGCTTTTCAAGAGTGGGCTCGTTGGAGAAACGGGCAGGTAACTTTTATTAAACGTTTTCCTTAATGCTTAAACAACCCTAGGGTTCAGGATATTTATTGGTTGTTCGGCTGAAGTTGAAAATATTTTACTTGACGTATAGATTCGTTTATTTATTGTATGCTTTATATAGACCCTGCATTGACTACTTTTCTTCATTCATGAACAGAAAAAAAATATTACAAACGTCCCTCTGAAGCCTTAAAGCATAGAATTTCCTTAGCGTTGTAACCGCAGCCCAGTCACCGTTCGGAAACTCAACCCCCTTGCCCACCAGTGGAATACCGTCTTCCCAAACCAGTAAATGAATGTACATCTACAGTGTCTACTATTAAGAGTGAGCCATGCGATTATTGAAATCACAGTGCCTGAAAATATTAGCACAAAAGCCGTCGTAAAATTAAGATAATATATATATTTAAATAGATAGATAAACGCATTTAACATTATTATTGCTAGTTTTTTCTTATTTACAAATACAGTAATTATTCTGGTAAAATGATGAAATATCGAAATAAATTGGCCAAAGGACTATTGCTACCTGTTTGTTTTTTAAGAAGGGAATTACACTATTTACTTTACAATATCCCCTCATAAAGCGTGCATATAACGGGGTTTTCCTTTCAGTTGAATACAAACATGATAGTTATATCAAACACTTTACTGTGATGTGTGGGATATATCAAACACTTTTTAGCCTCTCTGATTGGCCGAGAGAAAACAGCTGTGGTCTAATATTTGTATCACGGAGTTAAACCGAAATAACTTATCATTACATTTATTGTACATTGAACGCATGAATTGTTTTTATTCTTTGTTAGTATTTGGAACGTTGGATTTCTATTACTTTAAACAAACATTGAGATAATTTGAAATCAAGTGCTATTAATGAAAAAAAGATACACATCGATCGATTTGTGGAAAAGGTGAATACACTCAAACGAAACGGCATATGTTGACAAACGATAATTGCTGTATATTTATGCATTTGGAAGTTATAGGTACTAGAAGTAAAAATAATCGTAGAAGTACGCGTTTAAGGAGTGTTTATGTTCTGTACTTGAAAATAAACTATCTCTCAGTTAATATGTAGTACGTTAAAGGTATAAAATTTATTTTGAATTGACGTTTCTTCATTAACAAATAGAGTGGTATATCACATACCTTAAGGATTGTTGCAGTTTGTGTATAAATGGAGAAATTTTACAATTATTTGAAAGATCTTTTCTTTGTTGACAATGGCAACAATGAAATTGAAGACATTGCAAAGGGAGTGGATATTCTCCTTCACCGCTACGTAGATTTAATAAGAAAGGAAGTTCCTGATCTGAAGATCGACCGGCTACAGTCTAGCGGAAGTATGACAGAACAGACAAGAATCTGGGAACGTCTTAGCGACACTTCTCGTCATCCTGACATCGAATTTGACTATTTGTCAGTCATTAATAATAAAGACATTAGCTTTGAGAGATCCTGTCTTGGTCATATGCGAGTTATTTCAGACACAGATGTTGATACGTTGGAAACGAACTTCGTCGACTTAAATAGCATCGTCGAAAGGTTTTGGCAAGCATTTGTGACGGTAGTCAAAAGAACATGTTCGTGTTTTGAGAAATGCGAAGAACGTGTGTTGCCATTTGCCTTTACAATTACCGTGTTAAGAAACAGACATGGATGCAATGTATGTGCAACAACAATGGGCACTGGGACGCTTCGGCTTTCATATGTTCGTCCACATATAAGTGCACACCATATACACCCTATACAACTAGAATGGCTTAGTGAGAGAAAGCTTTGTTTTGCGCCAAAGAAAAGTGAAGATCATAAAATACAAAAACATTTATTGGATACCATAGTCATACATGCAGACTTTTTACCTGCGTTTGAAATCAATGTACCAAATACTACAGGGAATACAATTCTCGGAAACAGAAGTGAGCACCACTGTTTTCTTGTTCCGAAACATTGCAAGCAACATGACGAATGTTGGCGAATATCGTACTGTCTTAGCGAAATGGAAATTTTACAGAATACAACACAAGATCATCGTGACGTATATAAATTGTTGAAAGTGTTTCAGTCATTGTTTAAAAGTGGTCTAAAATCTTACCATATAAAAACTGCGTTACTTCATCATATAAGCACATGTCAAAATGTCGAAGAAGGTAGGAATGGGTGTCTTCAAAAAACGCTCGACTTTCTCGTGGATGGAATGATGAATCGTAGTATGCCCCACACTATAGAAGGACTTAATTTACGTGATGTTTTTAGTGAACATAGTCTTTATCTGTATCAAGCACAACTTTTCTACGTTGTGCTTTATAATGCGCTAGGATCGGACGAAATTCGGTACAAGAATTCAAGAAAAAAAGAGATCAAGGTAATACTAGACGCGTTTGTCTTGGATAATGGAAAGAGCCTTTTCGATGTAGGCAGACACGTAATGGACGGAGAAGAATTATACGATGTATTGCTAACAGAAATAATGAAGCTAGGGGAATGGGTGTCAAAGAAAAGAGTAAATGAATTTCGTGAATTCGTTTTAAAAGGCGAAACTTGTGCAATTTTATGACAATTATCGAGTCATATTATAATTAAAAAATGTAGTATGAACTAGAGTGCAGATCATAACTAACGAAACAATTTTACTTTAGAACCCAAAGACACTAATAAAACCATATCACGCATGGAAATGCACGCCTATATGAAAGCCACGTTATGATGAAAACATGAAAAGTTCACACATTATGTTGAAATGAGTGTTAGATTTGAAATGGCTTTTAGTGTAAAGATTCATTTTCGGGATACATTGATTTAGCTATGAACTGTGTTTTTTTCTATATCTAATAACAGAACTGCATTACTTCATACTAATTTAATACTATTTCAAACTTAGGTAATATTGTTATACTAATGGATACATTACTGACGTAATAACCATAATGCTCGAATAATAAATCTTCTGATCACGTAACACTAACAGTTTTAGATTATCTTGTAATTTGACAATAATTCAAATCACAACCCAAAGATACATAAACATTGTAATACAACTCCAACAATTATAGAAACTTTTTTCATTCAACAAAAGTCTAGGTCTAGCTTAACATAAACTTTTTTAAGATATTATAAGGTGCCGAAATATACATTAATGTCTCGGTCGTTAGCGTATGTTTATAGTGGTTAAATGATAATCGAAAATTAGTCCAAGGTCAAAACGATAGTGAACGCCGAATAAACAAATAAGATAATTTTGTTTAAAAAGTGTGTAATGCTTCAACACAATTTAACTCGTGAAATTATTTGTACCGATACTCATTTTAAATTGTATAAGGGTATATAGTGAGTGAACAGGTGAAAGTCAATTTATTTTCGTTTTTATATTTTAGGCAGATTTAAATCTTATTCTAAATATTCTCCAATACTAACTGTTGTTCAGTCACCATAATAACAATCTTTTTCAATAAATAGTCAATTCAGCTCCACTTTAAAAAAAAGACTGGTTAAGTATGAAGAATCTGAACTCTAAAGCGAATGTGTACTTTCAGTAAATTAAACAAAAAGTCGGAAAAAAACTTAGTAAAAGTGATCGTGGACTTTTTCATAGAGCTTGAAAGTTTGCAACTGCGCTTCCTTGAAATATGATAAACAAGATCAACAAGGAAAAACGCCGTTCAATAAACGCAACCCCCATACGACCCAGCAACAAGAACCAGTGGCAAGGAGCCCAGGCGGACCCCAAACAAAAACGAGGACAGGACACAAGACAGAGCACGGACAGGCCAATCACCAAAATGATAAATAACCTGTAACTGATAAGGAATTCAAAGAAAACAAATAATTATATATAAATGATTGAATAATATAAAATAATTTGTAACTGATAAAGAATTCAAAAAACAACAACAACAAATAAATGATTGAATAATAGGACCAATAATAGTAAAACTTCAAATAACAAGTAAGACAATTTCAAGTTACAGACTCATCGTAATGAACTATACATGAACTATACATGTACATTAGTCAATATTGATCAACTTTTATATAAATAAAATAAGCAAAGTCTATTCCATGTACTTTTTGACAACGATCTCCATATATCAATTTTATATTTCTTCAGTCAAATGATATATCACAACTGTAAGGGTCTTTTAACTATTCTTGAATAACGTGTCAAGATGTCAATATCGACTTCTAAATTCTAAATATAATTTTTTTCTTCAGCCAGTGCTAGGGGGCGTGGACGGTAACTACCGTCCATGAACAGACTCAGTCAAACCGAGCCTGCAACATTTTCAATTTGGTCGTGTTGGGCTTTTTTAGGGATTCTGTTTTTCTCTATTTTACCGAAATAGCTTTATAAAGTTAGGTCTGTATGCGTACGTTGCGAGGTGTCGGCAACTTAATACAATAAAATCAACAGTGAAAAATTTACCATTCTAATAGAAATTTCACCTTTTAAAATAAACAATACTCAAGTACTATTTGGAAAAAAAATTATTACCACTGTTTAAATTTTCAAAGAACTCTGACAGGTTCTAGAAGGCTAGCAGCAAATACTTTTTTAGAACAATTATTATTTAAACCTATGAAAATAATTTGTTAAGCATTCCAAAAAATATGCCATCGAAATTATCAAAGATGAACTTGTATATTAATTTCTTAATAGTATTTGAGTGTGTTTAGTACTGCTACTGATGTTTTGATCTGAGCGGTGTGCCTAGGGTGTATATCATATTTCATATTTGTAAGCAATTAAAATGGCGGAATATTGATACAATGTTTACATTTTAATATGTTCTTTGAATACAGACAAACTGAATAATTCCAACGGTAAAATCACACATGAATTATACAGTTAATCCATTTCTTTGTCTATATGAATAACTTTTGAATTTACTAAATGAGTTTTTGATTGATTTACACACAGCTTGTTTTAAAAAACAGTTTATGGGTGGAGAACGGCACATAACATTACCCCCGCCTCAGAGACGCAAAGTTCCAACTGCATATCCTTCACTGTTACACTTCTATAGTATTCCCGGGCTTAAAGTACATGTCATGAACAAAATAATTTACTGTATGGTATCCACTCCCTCCGCCTGTTCAAACTTCCGTAATATCTTGAATGGTTGTGATTGCCTTTACATTAAGATGCTAGCACCTACCTACTTTTCTGTTATCCCTTGTTTTTTTCTTTTCCTCATTCCTCTTATCTTTAACGTTACTTTGTTCTTTTGATTCTACAAAACCTACACCATAACTTCTTATAAACCTCCTAAAATAAGAGCCTAATGCTGCAAAACTTTTGATTTATTTTGCGGTTTTGTGTCTGGGCCATGCTGTTTCTTTCGAAATGTTGCAATGCCTTGGTCGAACACACTCATTAGATACTATATGCCAACGAGAACTGTTTTCTGTTGCAGCATTTCACACATTTTTGGTTTGAGTTCAAGTCCTGCAGCTTTTATTCTCTCCAAAACCTGTTCGACTCTGTAAATATGTTCTTCGAATGGTGAAACGAAAACAATAATGTCATCTATTTATATCAAACAAAATTAGGACAATATAATCAAAATTCAATAATTTGAAGGTCAAGGTCACTTAAAGTTCAAGGTCAAAATCAGTTAAATTTTAATAAAGCTTTGCCAAAAGGTTGATTTGTCCAAGTATGAAGATAATCCATTGACTACTTACCAAGTTACAGCTTATTATAGCAATTATGAGTGAAATTTTAATAATTTGACCTTCAAGGTTAAGGTCATACATGAGTCAAGGCCAAGTTGTGTTTGATATACATAAAGGTCTCGACCAAAAAGGTGTTGTCTCTAATAATGAAGTTAATTCATTTATAAATAACAAAGTTATAGCCAGAAAAGAAAACAAGATAACTTAATCAATTTGGGTTTGACGGTAAATATAAATTTAAGGTCAAAATATGATAAACAAGATCAACAAGGAAAGGCGGCGTTCAATGAACGCAACATCACATTTAAATTATTAAATATGTTTGCTCGGTGACAAACCAAAATTCAATTGTCAATGTCATTTAAAGGTCAAGGTCAATTCAGTTTTTAAAAGGTCTCGTCCAAAAGGTTTTTTTTTTTGAAGTGGTAATTGCTAGCTACCGTCTACTACCGGCTTGTTGGGATATTACACTTTTCATTATCCCTCATGTACAAACCGAGTCTCATTTTCACGTAATTATGTTGTGATTAATACTTCCGAGGGATTACACTTTATCCAGATTTTTTAGCAGAATAAAATATGAACTGGTAAAATTTTGAAACATCCGCAAATGTGCTCATATGGCGGTTATCATGGAACATTCAATGTGTCATGTTAGTTTCATTCCATGAAAAAACGGCATATGGTCCAAAAGTAAATAATTTTAGCAAATGGAATACTTTTTGGCTTGCAACAAACATGTTATCGATAGGAGCAATGTGAAATGTCATACTCCCGTAATAAAACAAGATATGTATCTACCTAGCATACAGAAAGTCGGTAATTCAGGTGCTCGCTCGTACCTTAAATAATGCAAAGGAGGTCATCTGAATTATTCCTCATCATGTTAAACTGGTATGTCGCAATATAACTTCTAATGTGTTGGTGCGACATTTAACCAAACGAAAACGAAACATCTCAAGGACAGTATAAATTTAAATGTCAAATGAAACTGCATTTTACATACAATGCATGTGAAAATTGTGTTAAATTTAACCCTTTACCTCATATATACGCGAAACAACTATCGTGTCCGCTCTATAAATCCTTTACCAATTGAAGGATTTTCTTCAAACTTGGCTCAAATGTTCACCACAACCATGGGATGTGCAGAACCTATGATACCCATGTGTCAGGTCAAGGTCACAATTGAAGGTAGGTCAAATATCAAACAATCAAATATTAGACAGTTTGTCGTGTCCGCTCTGTAAGTCCTACACTAATTGAAAGATTTTCTTCAAACTTGGCTCAAATGTTCACCTCAACAAGGGAATGTTCAGAACCCATGTTGCCCATGTGTCAGCTCAAGGTCACAATTGAAGGTCAAATATCAAACAATCAATTATTAGACAGTATGTCGTGTCCGCTCTGTAAGTCCTTCACTGATTGAAAGATTTTCTTCAAACTTGGCTCAAATGTTCACCTCAACAAGGGGATGTTCAGAACCCATGTTGTCCATGTGTCAGCTCAAGGTCAAGGTCACAATTGAAGGTCAAATATCAAACAATCAAATATTAGACAGTATGTCGTGTCTGCTGTGTAAGTCCTTCACTGATTGAAAGATTTTCTTCAATCTTGGCTCAAATGTTCACCTCAACAAGGGGATGTGCAGAACCCATGTTGCTTTTTGCCGGCTTAAGGTCATACTTGAAGGTCAAAAATTGACTTAGAAAATATTCTTAAATTTTAACATGTATTGGAATATTTCTGAAACTAGAAAATGTATTTGCTTGAAACTTGAAATATATATGAAATGTCATAATTAAGATATGCAGGTCCAGTTTCATAACTCTGTATTGCATTTTGACAAAAAGTTATGCCCCTTTTTAAGTCTTCAAATTTACATACAATCAAATATTAGACAATATGTTGTGTCCGCTCTATTTTCTAATCTAACACATATATTCCCATGTGACTCATTTTCCGCGAAGATACTGTAAATATTTAAACTGACAAATGTAAATGTCACTTTAAATTGTCTTTATTAGATATAATAGCAGACTCTCCGGAAAACTTCTTTAACTTTTTGAGCTACACAGAATACGCGCTGTTTTTATCCGAATGTAAAGACATTGATTCTTTCACTACAACATTCTAAAAGAGAAGTGTGATCTTATAACGTCCTAAAAACTTACTTATTTTAACATACGAGGAGTTACAAAATTATTTGGCCAATAATTAAAACATACTTAATTGGATTTTCTTGATGCATTTTATTGCAAAACATTCATTTTTGTGTGAAAAAGATCG